GAAAATTGTTCCTGTTGATCTTTCTCTTCTGTCTCCTAGATCATTCAATCTCTGGCAAGAGAATATTTCACAAAAGGAATGATAATGAACTTAATATTGAATTGACTAAGAGGGCAATATTAAATTGACTAAGAGGGGAAAACTAAATGCGGACATTTCCTTCTAGGAATTCAAAACTCAAAATATAGAAATCACTGTTAAAGTAGCTATTAATTGTTTCATGATGTCAGTGCTGATGCAGTTGATTCCTGCCTGCCAAGAACTTGTGCCATTTCTGGATTTTTCTTTTCAGACTCTAGTAATTCATACTCTACCCTAAATTTATAGCATAGAGGCAGGCACTGTGGTTTGCACCTGGATGTCGGGGTCTTTGAATTACTTAACCACGTTGTTTATTTTTGTGTGGGACAGTGGACTTTACTCAATCAGCCTCCTCTAGGGGCAAGGTCCCATCCACCCCTGCAGGGCCCTGGACCAGCCCCCACCTGTCTGGCTTGAGGACTCACAGACTCCCTTAAGGCCCCTGCTCTGCACTACCTCATAGCAGACCAGAAACAAGCCCCCAGGGCAGGGTCTAGCTTTTCAAACCAGCCCCTATTCAACACTCTCATCACACTCAGGGCTCCAGTCCCAGGGAGAACCTGGCACCATGTTAGGTACTTTAGCTATCAGTCAGGAAAGGGAAGTTAGAGGCTGGGGGCTTAATGGTCTGTCCCTGAAGGGCTTGTAGTCAGAGGCAGGGAGAAATTCTTCTGCTATCATTCTTGTCTTTCTTTCTCCCCTAATTAGGAAGAGCCGTGAGTTCAATTCTGCTGGGGTTTGTAGGGCACAGATGCAATCAAGAAGAAGTCAGACACTGGCGTTTTGCTCACCCGACTCCCTGTGGAGTCCCACAAAGACCAACTGGCATGCTCCCTCTAAGAGCTGGGGGGTGATACACGTTGCACCCAATTACCCCATTATTTTGAAAGGCAGGCGTGGCCATGTATGTGATGTTGTGCAGGACAGAGGTAACATAAGCTAGCGGCGATCTGCATGTATTGGCAACTTCTTTCCTCTGGGCCAACTCTCATTGTTCGACACACACACTCTGTAAAATAGGGAAGAATTGAGCTCATTAGTATGATTGTTTATCAAAATCATGACAACAATTACAACATGCTCTTCTTTGTATGAGGAAATGGCATTCCTGACCCTCAGGAGACCTGAAGCTCTACGATGCTTTGCCCGCCTCATGATGAATCTGGGGGAGTGCTCCTGTCACAGGGGCTCAGGTCAACTGGCTGGAGGAAGGTTAAGAGGAGAAATGAGCCCGGTGCCTCCTGCTTCCTGGCATTTGAAGTATGGACTCACACCTTTTCACCACTTTCACTTTCTCAGAAGAAATAAAACTAGAGAAAATGAGCCTCAGACCTGTGTTCACATGCTGATTTATACCACACACTACCTATGTGACCTTGACACCTTTGTGTGACTGTCTGATCATCAGCACCTGCATCTGTAAAATGGGGCTCACACCTGTTCCCAGTGCTTTGGTAGGCTAAAGAGGAAGGATCACTTGAGGCCAGGAGTTTGAAGCCAGGTATTTGAGACCAATCTGGGCAACACAGTGAGACCTTGATTCTACAAAAACTGAAAAAATTAGCAGGGAGTGGTGACTCATGCCTATAGTGCCAGCTGTTCAGGAGACTGAGATGAAAGGATCACCTGATCCCAGGAGTTCAAGGCTGCAGTGAACAATGATCGCACCACTTCACTCCAGCCTGGGTGACAGAGTGAGACCCTTTCTCAAAAACAAAAAGAGGAGGAATTGATAACACCTACCTTTAAAATTGGAGTTGTGAGGATTGAGATTAATACAGGGTAGATACTCAATTCATTTTAACACTTACCATTATATTATGAAATAAAACTAGAGAAAATGAGTGGGTGACTGAAGAGAAGATTTGCTTTTTCAAAATGAAAAAACCTGGACAAAACAATCACTTCATATCGGTTCTGAGTTTCTGATCTCAAAGCAATAAATGGCACTGATTTTGTCAAGTCTTACCCCACTCCAGAAAGCCCTGGGCTGCTCTGCCCAGGAGACACCAGGCCCTCAAAGAAAGTCCTGGCAGCCAGACTCCACCTGACGTTCCGAGAGCAATTGTCATCTGAACCAGGCTGGGCATCAAAGCCAGGGAAGTCAGCAACTTGGTACAGGCAGACGCTTCCTGGCTGGTGAGGGTTGTTGAGCAGGAGAGGACCCCAAGAAGGCATCTGCATAATACATCACAGCCTACGAGGGCCAGCACCATGTTAATTCCTGCACACTCGCGGTGTATTCTCTAAGGCACATCAGCCACCTCGCTTGGCTCTTGCCGCCTGAGAGGGTATACAGGTGTATGTGGACTGCCTAGCAGTGAGGGCCAAAGCAGCATGGGTGTGCTTTGTGGTTCCCTAAGGAAAAGTAGCGAGACAGAATCTCTTGTCTCTTCAGCATTTTCCATTGGAGGAGTAGGAGCTGCCAAAGTGATGGCGGACAATGACCCTCATAAGCAAAGGGGTATTTTGGGTAAGCCCAGCTAGTTTCCCTAGAAAATCGAACAAGAGAAAAAACTACAGTTAAGGCAATTAGGAAATAGGTTTGCCTCTGTACAGAAATTTTAGATTTTAAGACAACATTCTCAAGCATCTGTATGATGCTTTCCAGTGTGTGAAGCCCTTTTGCAGTCAGCATCTTGTTTAATTCTAGAGAATTCCTGTAAGATATGAAAAGCAAGGGATATTATTTTCACTTCATAGATAAGAAGACTGAAGACACCAAGAGACTTAGCCAGGGATTACCTGACCGATAAGTAGTGTCTTCATTTGGGGGAAACTTTTAGAAAAAACAAGAGAAGAATACCCCTTTTCAGATCCTTGGTGCTAGGTGCAGGGCAAAAGATAGTCTCAAGCCTCAGCCTTCATCCAGGCTTCATCTTCCATGCCTGGAGCCTAGTTGTCCATACTCCTGCCCCCCTCTGCCCCTGCAGCCTTCTGACCTTGCAAACACTGGAGACTTGCAAACTGTTCCAGGGACCTTAAGTGGGTTTGGGGCTGCAGTTGCCTGGGCCTCACAGAGAATATTCTTCTTCCAGAGCAACACACTAGATGGATAGACGAAGGGAGGGAGGGTTGGGGAAAGAGGACGAGGTATACAGGGACATAAGCTCTGCTCATGGGAGGTTTAGTGAGAAAGGAGTGAAATCCTGCCTTGTTTGATTTGGAGCCTTAACAGGCTTGCTACTGTTTAAAGTACACAGGAAAGTGGGATTTGTGCAGGGAGGAGAGGGGAGGGGAGGGGAGGGTGACATCTTTATGAATGGTGCTGAGAACCCCGGAGCAGGTGCCCTGGTCCTGTGTCCTGGGCCTGGGGCCCCGTTGCCTGGGCTGAGGCCCACCGCTCTGGCATCCACAGCCTCTCTCTTCCATTCATGGGACTTGGCCCACACACTCCAGTCTGGCCTGTCAGATCAATCCCTTTGTTTCTGACAATGTGGGGGGTAGAGGAGGCTGCTTCTGCGACTGTAGCAGCCTGACAGTGTCTGCTGCATGAAGTGAGGTCCCTTGTGGGGAGACAGAAGGGCCCACATTCCTGTCTGTCTGTGTGGCAAGCCCAGGACCAAGGCAAGAGAAAGATGGCATACATCTTAGAGCCGAGACCAGTCAAACTGGTGGTATCATAGCATCCACGGTATCAGCTTTGAGAGCCAGACGCAAGCCTGGCAATAGCCAATGCCCCACTCAAAGATTGCCTGCTGACACTGGCAAGCAGGAACCGACTCAGCTCCTGAGCCCAGCCCCCACCCCACTCAGGCACCCTAAATATATGCGTGCACACACTCGCAGGCAGCATTCCCATGCTAAACACTGATGGCTTGCCACCCCCTACCTCTAAAAGGAGCAGATTTAATGCAGAAAGCCTGCCAAAGTGTGGCTGGCTTCCAGTACCAAAAATACCTCCTGTGATCTGAGGGGCTACTGTACTGGCATCTATCTGTGGGGCTGAAGCTAACGCTGTGACAGAGAGGACTTCCCCTGGGGACGGGCTATCACCCATTTGGGGCAATGCTCCCCAAAGCCTAAAGGCTTGCTGTCAAGGGCCCAGGAGGTCTGCCCCTGGCCTGGGAAGCACAGGTGAGAGCTGCTCAACCAGATCTGCCTTCCACGGGAGAAATGCTCATTTCTCACAGGGAAAACTCAGCTCCATCGAGCATGTTTTGCCCTGCTTGCTCCACTTTTCCTCATCCTCTTCCTTAAATCGCCATCTAGAACAAGCAAAGAAGAGGCTTGAGGCCTGGAATCATAATATCGCAGCTGAAGACTACTTTCCAAGGGTAAAGTTTCAGGAGTGCCTTGACCAGGGAGGCAGGTGGGTTAGGATGAGGGCAAAGATTCGGCATAAGAGAAACATTTCCCCGTTCATTTGATAAATATTTGTGAAATACCTACTACCTGCCCACAGCTGTGCTGGGCTGTGGCTGTCCCTCCTCAGGGAATGAGGATGAACTACAAGGTGCTGGCAGAGGATTGGTCAGTCCCCAGGGACTGTGGTTTGACATCAGCTGAATAGGAAGAGGAAGAATACAGTAAAGGCCAGACAAATGCAAGAAAACTTGAGTCCTCAGAAAGACATAGACAGATCTGGGGGCTTGGAATCTATTGGATTATTGCCATACTTTCTTATATGTGCCAACGAGATAATTATGTACTGTATACAATTCCATTGAAGGAAGAAATTAGTAAATTTACTCTTAATAAATATTTGTTTAATAAATGAATGCTCCAACCGAAAGGGTGAGGTTTTTGAACACATTTAAAGACTAGAGGCACATGTATTGCCTCAAAGGATATTATACCTAAGTAAAAACCATGGACTCCATTTTTTTAATTCTCAAAGCATATTATTATTATTATATGTGTAACTGATATGATCCATATTTGTTCTAGCCTAAAATAACCACATTTAGGACTACAAATAACCATAATTTTTCCATTTTAATGATACTATTAGTTCCTCAAGCACATATCTATGTATATAAATCTATATTTTAAAATTCCTTCGGCTGTCTGAATATTGAAGGTAGAAATTTCCGTGGGCAAACTGAAGCCTAGAGGAGTTAAGGGTACTTCATCCATGTTAGCCCCCAGTAGATCAAGTTGCACTCTTCCCATCATTGAGCTGAAGACTCTCATAATCTCACATCACAGCACTCAGATCTCAGACCCTGTTCAGTGGCAATCAGGAAACTGAATGGCATTGTGTCACCCTTCCGTTAATGTATTTTCCCACCTGTCCTAGTTTCCTCTCTATCTTCCTTCATGTTTCTTTCTCTTCCTTTACTCAGGAAGGAGAGGAGAGGCGAGGCATAGGGGTGAAAGATAGGATGAGTGAAGGAGTCTGTTTCACTTTATGCTTCCTTGCTCTTGATTCTAGGATTTATTTCTGGACCACAGGGGTGGGGGTAATATGAAAAAATTATTTAAATTGTATTATAATCTTCTCAAGATGTGATTAAATTGAGGCACAGGCAAGAGATGTGACTTCTTCCTAAGTTACAGAGTGCTTGATTTAGAACCAGAAGGCCCTAATTTTTGGCTTTGAGCTTTATCAATTTGGTATTTCCGACTCTGCCACTGGTGGTCTTAGATGTAGCTGGCCAGATTGGTGCTTTATTTGTTGAACCAATGGGGGACGTGTTCCAGAATCTTCTAGGATCTTCTTCAAATTATCTTCCTTAATAAATTGTGGTTTAGATTCAGTCTACCCAGAGAAAAGACCGTCTGGATGGGAAGACAAGATCTACTTATAAAAAGAAATAAATATAGAGGTTAAATATGATAATTGTCTGGCGTGCTACCAACAATAAATGCTATAGAATTTTGAAAATAACAAGTAAAGATCAGGGAACACAACTTAAACAGATTATTTATGTCTCCACAGGACAAAACTAGAAATAACCAGTGAAAGTTACAGGGACGCAAATTTTAACTGATACAATGAAGAGCTTTACTGCTGAGACTAATTACTTTTTATCTTTTCTTATTCCTCTCTCTGTTCTCTCCCCCCACCCCACTTCCCTCAGACTCTACTGCTCTAAGACTTTCATGCAACTGCTTGTAGGGTTTCAAGAGTGATATTGTGTTATTTTCTCTAGTTAGACCACTGAGGACGGTGGCCACGAGAGGGCAGTAGAGGAAGCTTATCAGACGACTTGGACGTGTTGAGTAAACTCGCGTGCGCTCTAATCGCGAGCAGGGACTACTACGCAGATCCTGCGAACTCACTGGGGTCTAGCGTGCAGGCCCCTTCCGGAAAGCAGATTGTACAGACTGCGGAGATACCGAAACTACATGGCGCGGAATCAGTGGCCTTAAGGACACCGAGGCACTGTCATCCGGAATCCAGAAACCTCTCACCCTGGGTTATTAAAATAAGTTATCTTACCGCCATCTCTCTGATTCCTCTGCCAGGCAGGCTCTCTGGGTCTGGATACAGAAAGCTTCCTTCCTGTCCCCACTGCCTCGATCCGAGTCAGGACTTGCCAGACGCCCAGGACCTCTAACAGTGCTAGAAGCAATTCAGAGCAAGGCTCACGTTCGCATTGCAAAAACAATAACAACTTCAAACCTCATTGGACTGCTTGTTGGCTTTTTAAAATGTACAGGAAGAAATCTGCTCCCAGGAATTCCAACAGCGCACACCCAACCCCACCAGAGAAGCCCGATTCCTCCCCACTCACCCCTCACTCAAACTAAAGGTGAAAAGGGAGGTGTGCAGGATGTTGCGCGGTGACAGGTGATGCTAGTGGAGGGGGAGTCCTCGTCCCCACTGCCCTCGTCCACTCTGCCTGCGCCCTGATGCCACCCCAGCCCCATTCCTCCCACCTCTCACCGGAGGCTAAGCCAGCTGGGCTCGAAAGGCCTCTGCCAGACTCCCCAGGCCCGTGTGGCGTTTTCCTTGGCCCCTTGGCCACTTAAGGTGGCCGGTGAGTCCGGGCCGAGCGGGGCGCAGGGCAGTCGGCGGGGCGGCCTCCTGGTGCCAAACCTGACTCTCCTTTGTTGACAGCTGGCGGAGGAGGGGGTCCGCGCG